CCCCAAAACCCCAAAACCCCAAAACCCCAAAACCCCAAAATGTTCATAAGTTGAAATATATCCGTTAACTTTAATTAGTATTAATTGGAAGGAAGAGCTCTTTCTTATGTATCATTTCAGCTTTGGACTTGATTTCTTCCTCTGCTTCTTTCTGCTTCTTCAGTTTCTCGGCCTCTTGTTCCCTCTCGATGCGGGATTTTCTCTTGATTCAAGAGCCCATGAAGGTTTCAAAGGCATTAGAAGAGCAGTTTGGTCCCATTTGAGTTCTAGATTATAAGTCAGAATACTCTTTCTGCTGGAATTTTACCAAGATTCTTAAGAACTTGATATTTAAAGGAGAATGTGACATTTTTAAGAGAGATTTCCAATTAAGAAAAGTTATGGGTACTAATACTCAACATTTTAAGAAGAAATTTCCTTTGCTTACTTATCCCTAGCCTTTGCTTTGTCTTCTCTTGCTTTCTCAAGATCGACTACTTCATTTTCCCCTTGGGTAGCCTCCGTTTTAGGTCTTTTGGCGTACATAGCACCTGGTTCTACAAGGATGAAATAATGAAGCTACTTTTTGGGGACACTCTCTTAAAGACGCTATTTAGATCACCTTCAAATGCACTCTGGTGTTCATCGACTAGAAATAGTTATTTAAAGAGCCTACTTAATCTCCTCTTTCTGCTAACAGTTGGGTTATTAGTTGAGTTCTGTAGCGCTTTCTTCTCCCTTTCAAGTCTTGAGAGACTAGGTTTGGCATTAATTTCACTCAAGCTGCCTCCAAAACTAGCAAGGCATTCCTGCTCGTACTGGAGCAGTCGGCGCTGCTGGAATGTCAGCCTGACTTCAGGCTCAGCTGGAGAGGCTGGGCCAATTTCATTGTTCTCCTTGTTTTGCGACTCCGGATCATTCTGAGAATTAGTATTTACAGATTCCTCTTGATGACTCTCACTTTGAGCACCTTCTTGAGGAATATCATCTCAGTTGTCAGGAGCCTTATGGCTAGCTGACTTCTCAGCTGATTCTTCTGTAGGACTAGATTGAGTTTCAAGCTGCTCACAGAGAATGCATTCCTCAACGTGATCCCAACCTTGGAGTGTGCTTTCCTGTTCTTCTTTACAAGAGGGAGCCTCTTGTTGATCAGCATAGCAAGTATCACCAGTAGGCTCAACCGGCTGCTCTGCTGGTAACACAGGTTTAATTATCTCTGGAGTGGTACTGGGGTCTAATTCAGGGATTTTAGTTTCCATCTGGCACAAATTATAGCTGTTAAAGTTAATTATAATCTTTCAAAAATCATGTTTTAGGGCGGGGTTTTGGGGTTTTGGGGTTTTGGGGTTTTGGGGTTTTGGGG